TATATCATCATAAAATAAATAATTAGTATAATTCTGGTTAGAATCATATTCTAATTAAATTGTGTAAATTTTAGTAATTAATTATTCTACAATTCTCTAAAAAAAGTATTACTAATTTTAAACTTAGTTACTGATCTGAGTGTAACTATGTCAACTTTAATTTTAAGAAGACAATAAATAATGAGACATGAAAGGATATAGAGGAGGAGGTCAAGGGGAAAGGAGAAGCGATGATAGAGGGGGAGGTAAGCTAGGAGGAGAATAATGACATAGAGGGGGATGCGGAGTGGGAGGAGGATTGGGAGGATGGATGACGTGAACTGGTTGATTGGATTAAATTGGTTCAAAAAATTTTAAAATTTATGATAAAATTCATATTTAAAAAATATCATTCGATAAAAATGAATATAGAGGTGTTATCCAATAAAAAATCAATAGCAGATATGTTGTTTGAGCCATATTTAATTATTTATTATATGCTAAATTCTGAAATTAATTTTTATACAATAATAAATCGATTTATAAATTAATTTATAAAATTTTTTAAACCTAACAAGATTTAATCATGGGAGCCATAGATAAAATCTATTTATCAATTTTACCAAATATAAATATCACATTTTTTGCTATAGTTTCAATGTTTTGACGTACGATTTGGTTTGACATTAAAAATGAGACGATGATCAATTGCTATCAACTTGACTATTGATCACATGCATTATTAACATCATTCAAAGCAGTAAATAATCTTTATTATTATCTAAAATTTAAAAACAATTCCCTTGAAAGAATATCATTTTTATTTTTTTAAGAGTACATTTTTTTTAGTGCCTCATATTTTTTTTAATCCCATAGATGCCTTTCCTTTTCTTCCTTTCTCATTTGTCACTTCAATCGCCTTCGACGTTGCTCGCCCTTGTTGCACTCGTTGCCTCTACCTCCATCCCTTGCTTCTATTTTCGAGATCTTATTGTTTTTGTGTAGTGTCTTTACCACTTGTGATACTCATTGTCTTTGTCTATACCCTACCTATTATCGTAAGACCTTACCCTTCCTTAACTCCATGGGACAAAGATAAAAGGACTTATGGTGAAGATGTTTCTATGCCCTTTTTTTTCTATGGGGTGAAAAACTAAAATCTCATAATGGAAACCTTGCGATGCAAATAACAAACGAAGAAACATAGAGGTAACATGCACGACACCATCATTAATAAAAAAAATGAGACCACACGATGATAGATAGGGATAGATGCGATGGATATGATTGATAAAAAAAATCATCACATAAAAAATGACAAAACGAAAATAGAGGGTAAAAGCGAAGAGCGCGTAGGCGCTAGACAAAAAATAAAAAAAAATTATGTGATTAAAAAACATGAGACACTATATGAAAAAAGGAACAGGGTGCTTGAGAGAAAAAAATTTTTTTTTGGGCAAATGATCCAAAATTAAATGTGTGATATATAATTATATATGACAGTTTTTTTTCCCTTCGATAACCACATTAATTAAATGGGGAAGTAAAAGCGACGCGGTGTGTTGCGGACCAGCAGCGGGCCCACCGATCCGAGTAACGCGGCGTGTAAGGGCAACCTGTGCGGCCGACAAGGGAGCCACGCTGACGCCGTGACTGCCGTCACCGCTCTCCCGCGACCTGTCGTTTGCCCGTCAGTTGACGCCGTCGCCATGCGGCAGCCTTCCGTCAATTCAAAAGCGCGGCGATAGAGACGTCGCCGCCCAGCCACCCCCAACGCCCAACGCTCGCCGTGCTCCGCGTGCCACGACAGCGCCGCGTGCCACGTGGCCTCCGGCTAAACCAGGAAACCAAACTCTAATCAACGTCATCTTCCTAACGTTACCCTCGTCTTTTCGTTATACGCACTCCGCTTCCACCGCATAAAAAGATGTGTGCACGGAACCTTTTTTTTTGCTTTGTGCACGTGAAAAGAAGAATATCGGTGTACGTTTACCAAATCCCTGTGCATCACTAATCCAATGCGCTGGGCGGCGGCCGAGTGCGGTCAAACCGCCCGTGGACTCCGCCCCATCCTTGCCCATTTCACCGCTCCCACCGCTTTCTCCCCTCCTCTCTCCGCCTCTATTTATACTTCCCCGCCCACTCCTCTGGAGAGCCAACGACTCACTCGTCTTCATCTATTTCTCCATCGATCGTAAGCGCTCGAGAATCACATACAACGATGGCTCCCAGAGTTTCCAACCCAGGTGGCGAGGGAGGCCATGGCGCGGTCGTCGGCGGAGATGGAGACTGGAAGGGAACGCGCTACCGTGGCGTCCGGAAGCGGCCATGGGGCCGGTACGCGGCGGAGATCCGGGATCCAGCCAAGAAGTGCCGCGTCTGGCTCGGCACCTTCGACACCGCCGAGGAGGCCGCGCGCGCCTACGACGCCGCCGCTCTCAGGTTCCGCGGCCCCAAGGCCAAGACCAACTTCCCTTGCCCCGTCGACCCCGCCGCCGCCGTCGCAGCAGCCCCAGCCGGATTCGGTTCCATAGCGGCGGCTCCCGCCAGCACCAGCAGCAGCACCGTGGAGTCGTCTACCCCGTCGAGGCAGCGGGCCGCCAGACACCCACCTCTGGATCTCGACCCCGGGCAACCGTCCGCCCGGTTCCTCTTCCCGCACGCCGCTGCGGCGGTGGCAGCATGCCCGCGTCCGCTGGTGCTCTTTGATCCGATCGCCGCTTCAACGAAGGCTGCAGCGGCGGCAAAGGCTGTTCGGCCAGCGATGGTGAAGGTGTTTCGGAGTCTCAGCGGGGTCGAGAGTGACTCAGACTCGTCGTCGGTGGTTGATTGTCCTTGCTCGCCATCGGCCTCGCCGAAGGGGAGGGTTCGCTTCGATTTGGATCTCAACATGCCTCCTCCGCCGGAGGTTGCCTGATCCAAACGCCCGGAAACTATTATAGTTTCTTTGTAAATATATGCATCTTTTTTTCCTTTTGACAACATAGCATTGGTTTTGCTGATCCAAATAAATCTAATTTGTCTTTCTTTATAACAAATAAGTATCGATCTTGAGATAATTCCGACCTTTTGTGTTCCAATGCATAACAGCAGTCAGCTAAGATTGATTTGATTGAGAAGGAAAGCAGCTTCATTTTAATATGCCTTTTGAGACAACTTCCACGACAGCCATATTAGCAGAACAAGCTCTGTTAATTACACCGAAACACAGAAGGAATGCCGTCGAAACCTTAAGCTAATCTTTCAACTCATCTCTTCCATGCTTCCTCGCATCGTCTTCCGCGGATTCCCTTGCCACCCTGACGTTTTCCTTCGTCCCACCATTCCCTGCATCCTTGGGCGTGTCCTGGTCTTTGCCGACCACGGTCTCCTTGATCTTATGTGTCGTCTCTTTGGCCGCCTCCCACGCCTCCTGCATCGTCTGCTTCGCTCTCTCTCCTATGCTCTGTGCCCTCTCCACTCCTTCCTCCGCCCTTTCCTTGGCTCTCTCTCCCACCGACTTGGCCCTCTCCTTGGCCGTCTCGGCCGTCTCCTTCGTCTTCTCGGCAGCACCGGATGCCTTCTCGCGCGCTGCATTGGCGGTCGCCTTTGACTTCTCCGTCATGGTGCTAGTTCCCTGCTCCGCCGTCTCCTTCGCCTTCGCCGCCACTGAACCGGTTTCCTCCTTTGCCTCCTCGGCTTTCTCCTTAGCCTCTTTCAAATACTCCTGCATCGAGTCCTTTGCTTTCTGGAAGGCCTTCCTCGTCTTTACGGCATCCTCACCCTCTCTCACGTCTCCGTAATCCGACTCGTTACTGTTAGCCTGACAGAAAGAACAAAATGTAAGCACAAGGAAATCAGTGAGCCACATTAGTATGCGAGCGCAGAGTACGAACCTGAGAAGATCTTCGTGCATACGGGAAGCAAAGACGGCTGGGTTTGAGCGGAGCTGAGCGGGTAGGGAGGGAGGGATTGAGGAAAGCCTTGGTGAGGCTGAACACACCGCTCCGACTTCCACCGAACATGGCTGCCAGGTACTCAGCCTTCACTCTCCTCATTTGTATCCGGGGTGGTAATCTCAAGGCGCTGAAATAGGAGAGGTGTAGAAGCTGAGGCGACGGCGAGCAAACGCGTGGAGCGATGCATGCTGAGCTTCTTCCGCATACGTGGTAACAGACCAGCATAAATAACTCTTTAATTATTCCGTAGAATAAATAAAATAAAAAATGAAGGTGCCTCTTGCATGCGAAGCCAACGCTCTACCAAATGAACTACACCCCCCGAATCTAAAATATTTTTATAATAAAATATTTATAATAATAAGTTAATTAATATTAATAAAATATTCAAATGAAAAATAAAGATTATGATAAATATAAAAATATTATCATATTACTAAAGATAGAAAAATTAGATGATATAGATCCTAATCCATGAAGTTTCCTTTGAATGTTTCTATTTTTTTCTTCCCTTTTTTTTTCGAGGAAAAGATGTTGGGTTGATAATAGAAGATTACATAATGATAAATCATCAAGGAAAGATCTAACCTCAGCATAATAGATTCCTTTCTATCTTGCGGATGAGGAAGTGGCCGAATAAATATATACGATGACCAAAAACGATGAAGGGTTTAGGAAGTCCGAAACCCTAATAATGCCACTTGCAGTCTTATAAACCATTATTGTAGAAGAAGATGATTACATGGGTGAAGATGATGCAAGAGGAGTTGGGGACGTGGGGGAGGCTTCCAAGTCAAAGTCTGCCCCTGCGCCGGTGCCAGTTGTTTATTTGTGAAACATGTGATGTACAGAAGATGGCCTCAGATTCATTTTTTTTAAATCAAACATGCATCCTTGCTCCATTTTCCTCTAATGAACATGTTCTACTGACTGGATCATAATTTGCTCAAGCTAAAGGTAAAGTCATTTGTTTGGACTCTTTACAGCCAGAGATAAGATTCATGTGGACTTGGGGCATTAGGTCATCATATATATAAATATAAATAAATAAATATATATATAAATATATATATGTATACATATATATATATATATATATATAC